CTTTGTTTTGAGAGTCTGTGTGAGGAACTCTGTTGAGATTATGTTGAAATTGTTTTCCTTTGTTAAGGTTGTTTGTCTTTGGATGAATTTTGCTCAAGGGGAGCTATGAATTTTGGATGTACTTTTGGTATCAATTGAAGCTATTTTTCCTTAGATACCTGCTGCTTGATCTGTGGAAGAAAGGTGTCTGTTAAATGCTTGCAGGTTTGAAGCAATCTGCAATCTCCAACTTAGGGGGAGATTGTTGAACATTTCAAGTTTGAGATTGAATCAGAAGGATTGCAGAATCAAAGCTACCATTTAAGGAAACAGGCTGATCTCCAGGGAAGTTGCCTTTCCTGTGTGCAACGGCTACTTTGGCTCTCTCTATAAAGTCTTGCTACCGATTCCTTGAGAAGACACTTTTGTCAAAAGCTTGTTAGCGGTAAAGGGCCGAAGCTAGGAAATTGCAAAAGGGGTTTGACATACACAGGGGTAAAGGATCTGAGTGTGTCAAGGCAGATCAGATCAAGGTTGTTCTGGGTTATTTGGTTACATTGTTACTTTTGCAGTTTTCGTTGTGTGTTCTTGTTCTTTCTTTTGATTGTTATAAACTGAAAAATAATCAAAGGTCTCCCAGACCATATTCTGGGACGTGGAAGTAAACCATTGCACTTGGGCGAACCACGTTAAAAACATCGTGTGTCATTCCCTTCCCTGCTCTTCGTTTGTGCTTCAAATCGCTTCCTTCGACTATTTGTCCTTCCCCTGTTTTTCAATCTGCTTTGTTTCTGTGCTCTGTTCGTGACAAAGAAGGAATCTTCTCTGAGTTCCTTGTCCAGCAGAGACTGGGCTTTAAGCCTGTCTTTTAATTGTATTTCTGGCCTGTGTCTCGTTGAGGTTGGAACATGGGCTTGGAATATTTTGGGCCCAGTCATAAAGCGAAGGAACGAACAGTGTCCGAGACACTCTTCTTCATCATTCGTTTTCCTCCCTGACTGTTCCCATTCATTTCCCTTGAACCCTAAAATTCCATACCCTCTGTATTGAGTTCAACTGCCTGAACCCCCTGCCTCCGCCTCTGGGTGCAACATGAGTCGAAGCTCGAAGGATAACAAAGTTGAGGCAGAATATGTTTCTCAAGGGTTAGTAGTAGTAGAGTCTGAATGAACTGCATTTTTTGTCGGCCTATAGATTTGCATTTCACGTCTGCACAGACACATTGTTGATTGTTCCTACTGAAATTAAAGTTGAAACTTGAAAGTACATTAGAATGCTTGAAGTGAAGAAAAAAAAACATAATTGATAATCTAGACAAGTGTTCCACAGTAACCCTTGAAATATTGGGAAAGGTGTATATTTAACCAGAACTATTGCAGTATGCAGACTTAGCAACACCAGCAGCAATTGTAAGGTAGCTTCAGTAACAAAAACAACTAGCACTAGCAACAACAACTATAGTCTAGCATTGCATATCTCATCCTACTTCCATTGGTAATGCAACTTTGACGTAGTTTGGAATGTATGGGAACTTCTGTAAGAATTGGTTTGATTGGCACACTATACCTTTGGCTTCATTTCAAGGCTGGAGGGAGGGCCACTGTCTTCGATCGTTACTAATTCATCTTCCTTTTATTATTCAGGGAGCAGATCAGGTGAGTAACCATGAGTAACCCGTCCACATCAGCATGACATCAGCATCCTCTCTCTCCTGGAAAGCCTTTAATTTTCTCCTCTGTAATCTTTGACGAACGATTTCTCACTCATTTTAAGTCGAAATTTAATTTTTTTTGCACAGTTAGATCAGATTAATTGTGCTCTTCAAAATGATATCCACTTTAATATATTTTTCGAACAAAAAAAATTGAGTCATTTTTTACCAGTCTATACCATATGGTATTGACTGGTATTGAAATAAAAGCATACATATGGTTTGAAAAAAAGTACCATGGTGGTATGAACAAACCAAGACTATAGGATGGTTGAATACATGATAGTAGAAATATATTAATTGTCATTTACGATTTTTAACATTGTATACCAAAAGATACCACCCCGTACCAGGGTGGTATTGTATGGTATTGTGTGGCATTTTTTGGTCCTATAATTTGTTCACCCATAAATTTGTAGATCCAATAGATCATGATGAACTCGTCCCTTCTGTGCAAACGTTTTCAAAAACGAATTAAAAACGAAGAAGATACCATACAATACCACCCCGTACCAGGGTGGTATTGTATGGTATTGTGTGGTATTTTTTTGTCCTGTAATTTGTTCACCCAGAAATTTGTAGATCTAATAGATCATGATGAACCCGTCCCTTCTGTGCAAACGTTTTCAAAAACGAATTAAAAATGAAGAAAATACCATATGGTATGCAGTTGGTACCGAGAGGCCATAATTTTTTGTTCTAAAAAAATATTTAAAATTGATCTCATTTTGTAGAGCACGATGAACTCGTTCCACCTGTGCAAAAAAAATTAAAATCCGAGTTAAAACAAAAAAGATATGAGCCGATTAAGAAAACTAGAGAAAATAAAAATGATATTTAATTCTTCATCCTTAGATCTGGATTTTCTAAATGAAGGGTTCATATTTGGTTATTGATGAATGCATAACCCATGGTTATGTACCCTATCTTGAGCCTGTATTATCCTTCCCTTTCTTTTGAAGCTCTACCAAAACATTATACTTGCTTATTTTCTGCGTGCACTAACATATATGATTAAAAAACCCTCGAGGGAAAAAAACATGTTTTTACATCATCAAGCAATATACGGATTGACCATTCAAAAACAATATACTAATTGTAGACGAGCTTACAAACAAGCCATCCAACCCTTGATATATGCAGTTGCGAAGCGAGGCCTCCACTCTCTAGTGTATATTTAAGAAAGAAAAACAAAAAAGATGATTCTCAAACACACACCGACTGTAATTACATCACTAAGTTTGACCTAATTCCATTAGAAAGTTTTTTAAATTATGCTCGGTGTATTGCTTATTAAGATATTAATTAAGTTAATTAATTAAGATATTAAAAAGAAGGATTTCAAAACACTATTTGTTAGTGTCCCATCAATAGGAATTTTTTAATAATTAAATTTTTTTTTACAATTTTCTAGCATTTAAATTGTTTATGTATTTTCCTTTTCTTTTTGAAATTATTTTCCGACAATTTTTCCCCCTTCTTTCCAAGGCTGTTAACCCGGTTTAGCCCCTTAACTCGGTCAAGCAAGTGACCTGAGGGTTAATGGTCGACCGTTTTAACCCGTTTTAACTTAAGATATTAAAAAAAGTATTTAAAACACTATTTGTTAGTGTCTCATCAATAGGAGTTTTTTAATAATTAAAATTGTTTAACAATTTTCTAGCATTTAAATTGTTTGTGTTTTTCCTTTTCTTTTTGAAATTTTTTCCCGTCAATTCTTCCCCCTTCTTTCCAAGGCTGTCAACCTGGTTTAGCCCCTTGGGCCGGTCAAGCAAGTAAACTGAGGTTAATGGTCGACCATTTAACCCGGATTTATGAAAAATTGTCCGGTCAAGCAAGTGGGTTGAGGGTTAATGGTCAACCGTTTTAGCCCGTTTAACCCAGATATATGAAAAATTCATTATATTGTTCATACATTTATATATTATATCAAATCTCATCTAACATATGAGTAACATCAATTTCAAATGTTCAACTTAAAATTCCTAAGATAGGGTTAGGCAAATAGAAAAATCGGAAAAAGACGCAGTTCATAAAAGAAAGAAAAAGCAACGACGTGTGACCTCCAACCCGGTAACCTTGCAGCAGGTGTGTGTGGCCCGTTTTTCTCAGCGGGCCAACCTTTCCCATCTCAAGTATTTCTCTTCTTTTCCTTTTCTTTCCTAGGAAAACTCTTTCCCTCCCCATTCTCTATATCTTCCCATCCACCCAACTCTTCCTCCAAAACCCATGTTTAGGGACAACAACGAATTGGATCAGGGGCGGACTGTGCATATCCGTTATTAGGGTGGCTATACGGTCCGATCCGGTTAAATTAGCCCGAATTGATTCGGTCCCAGTCCAGTCTTTTCAGGAATATAATGACCAAAGATTGGATTTGATACAGTATGTTTCGGTCTTGATTTTAGATTGAACTTGTGGGGATTTGAGTAGCTTGAGATCTGAAAGGGTAAGCAATTGGTTAAGTTTTAGGTGTTGGGCTCTCTTATCCCGTCTTTATCCGGTTTTCGACCGGTTCCGAACGATTTTATACCTCAAATCTAAGCATGAAGATGGGATTGGATTGTTTGCTATTCGGTCCTGGTCTGATCTCGTCCCGGGTTATACGGCCCGGTTTCGGTTAAAACCATAAAGCCCGAACCAAATAGCCACCTCTATCCGTTATCCTACCCAAAGTAGTTCAGGTTTTACCCATACCCATACCCACATAAGAAATCGGTAAAAAATCAAAATCATGTCCATACTCATTCGAGTTTCAGATATCCACAGTTATCCATGGGTAATAATTTCCTTTGGTTGACAACCTTTCCCATCTCAATATTTATCCCTCTCGCTCCTTTTCCTTTTCTTTCCCTAGAAAACTCTTTCCCTCCCCATTCTCTATCTTTTCCCATCCACCCAACTCTTCCTCCAAAAACCCATGTCGATCTAGGGATGGCAACGGTTCGGGTCAGGGGCAGATAATGCATATCCGTTACCCTAACCAAAGTAGTTCGGGTTTACCCATACTCATACCCACATAAGAATCAGGTAAAAAATAAAAAAAAAACGCTCATACCCATTCGGGTTTCGGATCCCCACAGTTATCCATGGTTAATAAATCGCCTCCACATATATGAGATCATTCACCTCCCGCCCAACTATATTACCCGTCCCATTGTCGAGGGCACAAGCATGTGAAATCCACTTGTCTTCACCATTTTGAATCACCAAATTTGTTTTTACCATTTTTTTTATGACACTATTTCCATTTACAGTTTTGACTAAATTGTAACAAGAGAAGCATCAAACATACCGAAAGCTTATTGAATGATCGGTTTTTGGCCTCTACACGAAGATACACATTTCTTTATTTGATTATGAAATGTTAAGTGTTGAATTGATATGAACTTTCCATTATAAACAGATATTATACAAAATAGATAACCACGTCGCGGAGCGCTAGTATAAATTAAAGAATCAATGGAAGCTTAAAGTGAAAGAATCAATTATATATAAGAAACAACACATCTTGCGGTGTACAATAACGATGTAAATGAATCAAATGTGCTCTCTATCTCACTCTATTCCACCGCGTTGTCTCGTCATTCACGGCCATCCTCTCATGACCAAGAATAACACCAGACAAAAGGATTGTAGTAAATAGTAATGTTTTCCTTATACAGCAGTCAATTTAATGGCTCTTCCCAACGGCTTTGCCGCAAAGGAGAGCATTGGTAGGAATGAAGTATTCATTGGCAAGGCTTTGAACCGCAGACCAAACCCTGAGATAGAATTGTTGTCCAAGGTATTGCCTCTCCCATATAGCAGACCTCATGTTCCACATACCTTGGTTGTCCAGTGACACCAATATGGCTGTCCATGAGTTTGGATACACCTGCAACAACACGAACACATGTTGAATCCACGATTAGAGCGAATGATTCCTAGTTGGGTCGAGCTTATGATCGAAGATTTTTTTATTTTCCAGTTCACATTCTTACCTGAGTAGTGTGTCTGGTGAGAGCATCAACAAGGTTGTAAGTGCTTCTCTTAGCTGGTGCCCATTGACCAGAACCAAAGCTGCAGTGTATTCAAACCACAAAATGGTTAAGACCCTTTAGTTGGCTTTTACCAAAATTTGAGTAAAGTTCTGGACTTTGGAAGTTTTGAGAGACCTACCCAACAACCCAGAAGTCATAGCCATCAAGATGCCAAGATTGCATTGCGTTCTCGTCGTTCTGGAACACAACTTCGATGAAATCATGGAGAGAAGTTGGGATGACAGATGTGGCAACGGTTGCAGCACCACCATTAGGTACGGTTTGGAGTGAGCTCGTGCTGAAAACCCCAGGGATGTTGAAGTAGTCAGCAAGCTTCAATGGAGTATCAGCATTGACATATGAGACCCCGTTCACAGCGTAGCGTTGCTTCCCGTTGATCAAAGGTGCTGAGTTCGACAATACGATTGTCTTTGTCGTTGTAATCTTTCCATAGTGGAAAGAGCCCTGCGGATTTGGCCTGGCTGCATTTGCTGTCAAGTTCCACCTGCAGTGAGAATTTGACTCGTCAAATTAGCTTGGTTTACAAGAAAACTTTTTGAACCCTTTCTTCGATATCTTATGAAGGTGAATTGGGGTACCTGTAAGTTCTGGCTTGTTCCATGGAGCCATGAAGCTGGTAACTAGGTTCAGCAGGAAGTGGTCCAGATACCGGAGTTTTCGAGTTGGTGTAGTGCAGAACACCAGATGCCACCAGCTTTTTCGGTGTGAAACGAGTCGATGCAACGATGTAGTAATCCTTGGGAGCTTGATTCAGTGTCACTAAGACATTGACAGATTGGCCAACATGCACATCAAGAGAGTCATACATGTTCTGAACAACATGAGAACCTTCAACCTCAATCAGCTTCATTGTGTGGCCCTGAATCCTAAAGTTCAAGGTATTCTTCAATCCTACATTAGAGACCCTAAACTTGTACGTTTTGCCTGCAGACAAAGTGGGCATATGACAAAAGAATAAAAATTAGTGAGTGGCTTGAAAGAACAACATGAATCTGTAGAAGGACCGTAGTGGCAGGGGAGTTACCTTGATCACCACTGAAGGTGGCTTGGGAATGGCCATTTATAAGGACACCATCTGGAAACGGTAGAGACTTGCCTGAATCCAGAGAAGCCTGTAATGCCTGTTACACAAAAAAGAATCATAATGTACAATGTTCTAAACTAACAGTCAAACCATCCAATACAATGATTAGAGAACATTGTACAAACAAGAAATAGAAGAGAAAACATTCAAGACAGCCTTCCTCAATATTCTTAAGAGCTCGTTCTACATATTAGACAGTTTCAGGCATTTGATTCAGTTGAACACTCATTTCATTTGTGACCTTTCTTGGACTCAAATCATAAGCACAGTTGACCCATGTTGAAGACTCTCTTGACTGAACATCGAAAGATCAACCGAAATAAAAATTACAAAGCACAATCCTGCTCACCTTGTGGCCAGTCTTGTACCAGTCACCAACCAATAGAGTGAAATCTCCATCTGGAGTTGCATAAGGCACAGGGATTCTGGGCCTCTGGTACACATTAATGGCTCCATAACCACCAGCTGCTCTGTGGAAACCAGTGGATGGGAAATAAGTGAAAGACCCAATCTGATCTTTTGGTTGGAAATTGTACGTGTAGTTGGAGCCAGGTGGGATAGGGCAGTTTGTTCCCAGAACTCCATCTTGCCATGAATTCTTCCTTTGCTTAATCCCATTCCTAGAAAAATTGCACAAAATCTATCATTCCAAAACAATGACACAAAAGCATATAATCTTATACATCCTAAGCGAGGGTTGCAAACCAAAGTCTTACCAGGTCAAAAGGAAAGGCACATCAAGCTTGTTGATGAGGTTGAGGACAAGGTTGTCATTTGTCACCACATCTAGTTGAGGACCAGGGAATTGCCCATTGATGAGAATCACCTGATAGGGGATAACACGGAAGAACAAAAGACGGAAACTTTCAGAGACATTGAACCAAACCCATTTCCCAGAATCACAAAATGAGCTCGAACCTAGAAGTAAAGCCAAAATCACCAACCTGTTGAGGAGCTCCAAGAGGAGAAATGGTGCCATAAGTGACAGTCCAAGTGTAGAAACGATATGGGTCGTCTGCATTCACCAAGGAAACATCCAAAACAGCCAGCAGAAGAAGCCCAGAGAGTAGTAACGAGTGGAGCAAAACTGGCTTCCCCATTTTGGATCTGCAGCAAAAAACAACAGCTTTCCCCACTGGAACCCAAAAGAAGCACAAGTCAGCTTCAAAAGGACCAAAACCAGTAAAAAATTGCTCTCAAAATGGAAACTCTATCTAGGACAGGAAGATACCCAGAGTTTCCAGGAAAAGTTTGGCCGTAAAGGGCTATTATCCAACAAGGGTTGATTTGGGAGCTATGAGAGCCTATGAAGGGACTTAAATAAGTAGAGAACAGGTCTTTACTTACTGGGTTGGTGCGGCCGAATGAGGAATGTTGAAACCAAATTTATCCTTTCGAGAAACCATTTCCTTATATTTTAGTGCTGAAAATGATGGATGGTGATCATTTTAGGTCGCAATTACATCTTTACTAAAGAAGAAAGGAGATCGCAATTACGGCTCAATTTACGCGTTTTTCGGGCCATGAATGAATTATTGTTGTTGTTGTGGCTTCGAATCAAAGTTATTTGGTTCCACTTTCTTTGAGCATCTTTTCGTTATTCTTGCTTTCTTTCTTTCGGAAAGTCCAACTAATCATGCGAAGAAAAGGACCGGAGTAAACAAGTACTGTTAAGTTCAAGTAAAAAATGAAAACAATATTGTTAGTTTGTTTGCCTTTTCCCGCGGGATTTTCTCCCAGATAAAGAAACATAATTTACTTATCAAAGTGAACAAATCCAAGGTTACCAAATATTTTTTTTTTCTTTTCAAAATGGCGATCACTGAATCTTTCATCTTACACTTCTTTCATAATATACAAATACATCATGGTTGTTTGTGAAAACGACTTTCAATTTCTAACTCTGCCACTAATGAATCACAACGTTGAGCTTGAAATTCTCATGTTTCAAGTTCGTCTGCAATTCCTTTTTCAACTTAAAAGTGATGGTTGTTTTGTTTTAACAACGTGAATCAAAATGAAAGAATAACTAATGTTCAACTCACATTGATTGGCTCAACATCTAATCAACTAATACACTTTACTATGGTTACCACTAAAAAATCACTTGACACCACATTGATTAATTGAAGAAAATTATATGTAAATTTTGAAGGTAGTTTGAATACGGAATCCATTATATGAAGATCCAGTAATTTAATTTTAGAATGTTTCGGTCGAATACATAACTTAATAAATTTAGGATCTTCCACTCGAACAGAACTTAATCAACATTCACATATTCATTGACATCTAATTGCCATGATTGTTCACCGGTGACTACTAATATACCATACAGGTACGTCACAGAAAGAAAACAAATGAAATTGTATTGAAATTAGGTTTTTAGTGTTCAATAATCGATATTAGATTCCTGTCGTGATGCTGTCAACGGAAGAAAAATGCTAAATAATAAAACAGTACTTCATTCATTTTTTGACACAAATAAAAGAACTTAACTCCCCATAATCGCGGATGATTAATGTCTTGCTTTCTCTTTAATTAAAATGAAGATATCATGTTGATCTTTTGTTTGTGGCGCTGCTAGCTGGTAGTCGAGTTTCCTTTTCAACCCCGTTTTTGCTTTCATAATTGTATTGTAATTTTTTTTTTTTTTTTTTTGTAGAACAACGGGATGCTACGGGCACCCCAACCGTTAACTAACAACCAAATGGGATGTCTCCACCCCAATCTGATAGTACAACAGCCAGTAATTCAACAGTGGGTGCAGCTTATCGACGAAATGCATCCCCTGCTGGAGTTTATGTCCTGCCGAAGCCAGGTAATCGGCAACGAAATTGCCTTCTCTGTAGACATGAGTCAGCTGAACCTGCCAATCAAGCGCCAACAAACGACGAGCTTCCTGCACCAAGAGAAAGTGGGGATGCCGGTTCAGCTTCCCTGATAAGCTTGATGGCCGTTTGTGAGTCCGTCTGAACGATTAAACACCTTATTCCCTCGTCCCAAGCAACCTTTAAGCCCTTCACAATGCCTTCCAGCTCCGCTCTCGTTATAGAGACCTCCCCCAACTTCATAGAATAAGCCCTTATTAGTCGCCCATGCTCGTCCCTGACAACACCTCCCGCCGCAGCTTGCCCATTCGTCACCGACCCGTCCGAATTCAGCGCAGCCCAACCTTGCGGAGGCTGTTCCCACTTTATCTCCTTCACGTGCCTTCGTGGAGTAACCTCTGTTCCCAGGATCCGCGCCGGGGACGCAAGCCCGATTCTATGGACCAAATTTGCTACCTGTCTCCTGATCACTTCCGGAGCATGCATTTCCTTCTCAAACACATATTTATTCCTTCCTTTCCAAAGTAGCCAACAGGTGCCAGCGAATAAAGTGGGTTCCATTACCTTGCTACGTCCCATGAGATAGTGCATAGCCCATCTAGTTCGATCCTGCTGGAAAAACACTTCATCTGGTTCGTCCCCCAGCAGCTCCGCCCACACAGCTCTAGCCAACGAACAGTCACGCACCACATGGAGAGCGCTCTCCTCCTCACGCTCGCAGATCGGGCACTCCTTTGACTGGCTCAAGTGCCGCCGTGCACATTCACAATTCGTAAGTAACCTGTCATGCACAAACAGCCAGAAAAAGGCTCGAATCCTCTGCGTTGCTGGGATCCTCCGAACCGCCCGCCACACTGGATGCCTGCCCCCCGGTCTTTCCTCCTCGTCCGTCAGCTCATACGCCGTCTTCAGTCTGGATTCTCCGTTCGGAGTAAGCCTCCACACAGGGATATCCTCTTCTGTTCCTCTAGGTATTGGGTGCATTCGAATTTGGTTCACCACACTCTCTGGTAGGAACGCCCTCATGTAATCTATGTTCCAATCCCCATTGAGATTCAGCTCCGCCACTCTCAAGCCACTCACTTCCTCCGGCAACTCTCTTACGTGATCCGCCAACGGGGGCCCATCCTGCAATCACCGATCATGCCAAAACAACGTTTGCCCTCCACTTTGAACCGTCCACATAGTTGCTTCCGGCAGCAGATGCATTACACGTATCACGCCCCTCCATAGGTTCGAGATCCTTCCCGTTCTTCGTGGGACAAAACCATCAACTGTCTGCTTCATATATTTTGCACGAATTACACGTACCCATAAGCTCTCCGTCTCCGTCATCAATCTCCATAATACTTTCAGCATAAAAGCCTCGTTCATCCTCTCAGCACTGCGAAGACCCAATCCACCCTCCTTCTTCGGTCTGCACAAGGTTTTCCAGTCAATAAGGTGCATCTTCCTGCCTGCCTCTGAGCTTCCCCAAACAAACGCCCGGATCTTCCTGTCGATATAATCCCAGACACTAGCTGGTAGGAGGGTCGTCTGCATAGTATAGGCTGGGAGGGACGTCAAGACGGCCTGAGCTAACGTGATCCGCCCTGCCAGAGACATACTACCTGCCTTCCATCCGGCCAATCTAGCATCAATCTTATCGATCAGCGCTGTGAACGTATTCTTCGAAACCCGATCATGGATAACCGGGACTCCCAGGTACCTACCAAGATTAATTGTTGCCGGGATTCCTAACGCTGAGCTGAGGTCCTGGCTCTTCGCTACAGTTACATTCCGCGAGAAGTACACCCGAGATTTCTGTTTACTTATTTGTTGTCCTGATGCTTCCCCAAACTTCTCAAAGCAATTGAGAATAACATCTACCTGCTCCAAAGAGGCCTCTCCAAACAGTATCAAATCATCCGCAAAGAAGATATGTGACAGTGGCGGCCCGTGACTAGATAACCTGATCGGTTTCCAAGCCCCCCCTACAACCTCCGCCTTAATCAGCTGGCTCAAACGCTCCATGCACAGTGTGAAAATATACGGCGAGAGTGGGCAGCCCTGACGGAGTCCTCTCGATGGTGTAAAGGCTTCTGTTAGGCCTCCATTCCACTGTATCTGCATTGTCGCTGTAGAAATACACTGCATCGTAGCTTCTGTGAACTTGTCTGGCACTCCCGTAGCCTTCAACGTTTCCTCCACAAACTGCCATCGGATACGATCATAGGCTTTTGCTAGATCGATCTTTATCGCCATCCACCCGACTCGTCCCTTCTTTGCTCTCATAGAATGCACCACTTCCTGCACAATGCAAATATTGTCTGTTATATGCCTTCCCGGGACAAAACTCGTCTGAGTCTCATCCACCAGTTTAGGCATCAGCGGCTTAAGTCTTTCAGCAAGGCTCTTCGTCATGATCTTGTATATAACGTTGCACAGGCTGATCGGTCTGAATTGCTCTATCAGAGTCGGCTTCGGGACCTTCGGGATCAGCACAAGGATCGTCTGGTTGACCTCCTCGATTCTCCTCGGATCCTCCCAGCAGCTTCGAACAAACTCCACCACACTGGGACCCACAATTTGCCAACATCGCTGGTAAAATAGTGGGTTAAGGCCATCTTTGCCTGGCGCCTTCAATGGTCCCATGGCTCTTACCGCTTGCCACACCTCCTCCTCAGCGAAATTCCCTTCGAGCGCTGCCCCGGCATTGAGCTCGAGCTCTGGGAAGTTAGCCAGGAGGACTCCTCCGCCAGCCGGTTCGTCAAGGTACATTCCTGCAAAATGGGAAGCAGCTAAAGTTAGTAGTTGGGTCGGCTCTTCAACCCACTCGTCATCTCCTCCTCGTAAGACCAATATTCTGTTCCTCCTCCTCCTTCGTACAACTCGGGTGTGGAAGTATTTTGTGTTCCGGTCCCCGAGGTTTGTCCACTCCTGCGTTGCCTTTTGCCTCCAGAGTAAGTCCTCTTGCACCAGAACTTCTTCGAGCTCCGCCCTTGTCTGAATCATCATTTCCGAGTCGGCATCCCCTCCATTTACTTCTTCCAGCCGCTCAACTCTGGCCATCAAGGCATTTTTTTTCTTTAAAATGTGACTGAACGTCTCCCAGTTCCAAATACTGGCTTCCCTTGAGAATTCCTTGGCGGCTTGGACAAACCCCGTTCCCCTACTCCATGCATCCCTGGCCATATCCTGGAACCCCTCATGAGTTAACCATGCAGCCAAAAACTTGAACGGTTTCGGGCCGGCCGGCTGGACAGATGGATTAATCTTTATAAGAATGGGTCTATGGTCCGACTTAATGCGGGGGAGGTGTCTTACTACCGTCTCCGGATACATCGCTGTCCAAGACTGGTTTGTAAGACCCCTATCCAGTCTCTCGCGCATACCTGCCCGAAACCACGTAAATTGAGGCCCTACATGGCCTAAATTGAGGCCCTCCCATCTTTTCCGACGCGTTCAAAATTGCGTTGAAATCACCTGCTAGTAACCACGGCCTTGTTTGGGTAACTGAAATGCCTCTAATTGTTTCCCAGAGATCCCTCCGCTGGATGAGAGCAGGGTTTCCGTAAATGGCCGAAAAGTCCCATTTATTGCTTTCAAAAGTAACCTCCACATGTAATAGCTGGTTCATTTTTCTCCGTTCAGTAATTGTGATAACTGCGGAATCCCAGAGTAGCCAGATGCCACCCGAGAAACCTCTAGCCTCCACCATTAGCTTCTCATCATACCCCATACTGTTGATCACCACTTCAGCTCTATCACCACTTATTCTCGGCTCGACAATAACCACTATCTTCGGTTGATATTTCCTCCTATACTCTTTAAAGACCCGAAGGAAGCGATCGCTTCCTGCTCCCCTGCAATTCCAAGCAAAAATATTCAGGTCCATTTACTTGGATTCGTGGGGCTGCGTAAGCTATGCTACTGGGTTTTCTCGGGGTCTTGCGTCAGACCCCCTGTGCCACCAGCCACTACGACGGCGGTTTGCTCCGACTGAGCTGCATTGTTTCTCGTTGCCACAACCTCCCCCGGATCGGGGCTATTGTTTTCCTTAAGGATCTCCCCTCTCTTATCACCAGCACTTGAATGCATGGGACACGTAATATTACTCACTGAGAAAGCTCCCGTTTGAGCTTGGACGTACTCAGCATTGGATCCTTGTCTACTCGGGCTTAATTCCTTCCCTCCACCTGCTCCCTGTACGTCTGCATGGGCTGTCTCTCCCATTCCGGTAATGGCCTCCGTGATTCCATCTGCTGACATTTGTATTTCCTTCCCTCCGCCATTTTCCCTGCTATAATTCCCCTCCTTCTCCTGTCCCTTTGGGTCTCCCTTCTTCTCAACCCATATCTGCTTTTCCTTTGCCGCGCTAGCCCTGTTCGTCTCCTTTTGACTCCCTGGTTGGTTTCCACTGTTAAAATTCACTCGCTTATCCCCCGAGACCGCACTGTCGGGCTGTTGCGTCTTTGGCTGCTCTCCCACTTCCTCCATCCCTTCCTCCCCGAGTACAGTGAACCGGGAGCCTGATATAGTTTGTCTCCTCATCTTCCCTTCCTGTCCCGCCTTGGGTTCACGGCCGCCATTCTCCACCATCCTAGGCCGGCGCTGTCTTCTGGTCGCAACCATCCATTCCCCATATGGTTCTGGATGTTTCGGTGAAGGCTCCTGCTTCTCCTCTTCACACCATTCCTCAGCTTGGTGAGTTGACGGGCACTTGTTCTTCTGATGACCATATTTCCCGCATTCAAAGCAAATGTTCGTCAACCCCTCCCATTGAATATCGTACTCCTTCCCCAAGATTTTGAATTGAGACAGGAGCGGCTTAGTCAGATCGACTTCCACACACACCCTCGCATACTTTCCCCTCGCTCCTAGTTCCGTAGCTCGATCCAATCTCACTGGCTTTCCCGCATACGACGCAATTCTCAGCACTGCCTCAGGGTGGTAAAACTCAATGGGGAGCTCGGGCAGTTGCATCCATGTCAGCGTTGTTACTATCTCAGCTGATTTAGGATCAAACCCCTTTTTCCATTTGTTGCGTGGTAATATAGTGATCGCCTATCATCCACGGCCCCCCTGTGAGTGCATGTTCGTAGTCTTGCTTACTCGTGAAACGGACGAAATAGCAACCATACGATCTGTTCGTCACTTGTATAATCCCATTTCTTGCCCATAGCATGTTCAACCTTTTCACAACCACCGGGTACGGGAACGTGCGACCTAATACTTTCACGACAATTGCTGATCGCCATTCGCGTCTATATTTTTGGAGCTCCATAGCCGTAAACTGTATGGCTGGGCACAAGGCGTTCCCTGTGGCTTCCTCCATATTGTCCTCGTTATCTTCCCTTATTGCTTCTGCCACCTCCTCCGTATCGGAGTCCGCCACGTACCAGTCTGTCTCTTTTAGGGTTTCGCTGAACAGCTTCTTCCTCCCCACTCCCCACGCCATCGAGGGCTGCGAGTATGTTTGGGTCGGGTTCGTCTGAGGCGGTATC